TAATCCTACCCTCCCCCCACCACTAATCCTACCTACTCCCGGCCCTCCGCTAATCCTACCCCTTCTCCCTCCACCATCTTAAATAATCACTATAATTTTTTACCAAGTCCTATATATGTGTGTGTGTGTGTGTGTGTGTGTTGACATTGTGCGCTGACCTTCGTGATGTACTGGTGTCCTGGTGCCTACTTGTCTGTTTACTGTGACCTGACCTTGGCGTCTCCCCCTTCCCACACACAGTTTACTTGACTCGTCCTCTCTCACCTCTGACCTAACCTTGGCGTCTGGTGAGCACACACACAGACACACACATACATGGTTGACCTCGCTTCCCCGCCCACCCATGAGGCCCTCGCCGCCATCTTCCATCAGAGTGACCCCTGGTGTCTCTCACCCACGTGACCTGCTCTGATGTTTCACATTTGTGTGACTTGCTGTTGATGTCTGTTACAAGGTCAACCTGTCTGACGCATGGCAGTTATTTAATCTGAGACCTCTCCCAAAGGTGTGACCTACCTCTCGTTCCATAATCAGACGGCACACACCTGTGACCTTCATGTAACCATCTGTGACGTTCACGTAACCATCTGTGACCATGTGACCACCTGTAACCTTCATGTGACCACCTGTGTCCTTCACGTGACCACCGTGTCCTTCACGTGGCCTGTGACCACGTTACCACCTGTGACCTTCACGTGACCACCTGTAACCTTCACGTGACCACCTATAACCTTCACGTGACCACCTATAACCTTCACGTGACCACCTGTGGCCTTCACGTGACCACCTGTGATGCCACGCTGAGAGCCAGGACTCACCAGTTTTCCTTTACTACACTGAAGGACTATCATTATTCACGGGAAAACGCTAAATCCGTAGGGGTCTTACCGCTCCTCGTATGAAATGTAAACAGGTTTGATTCAAAGGGAGTGTAGCTCCAGTTTCTTGGATCGAAACCCCTTCACCAGCATCAACGCACCCCCTCCCCTGGGAGATTATTGTACTTATGGGAAGCGTTAAACTCGTAGGGGTCACATCGCCTGAGGGAATGGGAGGTGCTGAGGTTCAATCACGGTGGAAAGTAGATCCATTTCCCTGGATCAAGAGTTCTTAACAGCATCAAGACTCATTATCTCTATTAATTAGTACTTTTTTCATAAGAAAACGTTAAACATGTAGGGGCGTATGCAGCTCCTGGCTAGTGGGAGGTCATCAGGATTGATCCAAGGAAGAGGAGAGGAGCTACAATTTCCTCGGATCAAAACCAAAGCACCTCCATCTGGATGTTATGTACGAAGTGTTGTCCGGGGAAAAAAAAGTCATAGGAAAAAAAAGTCACAGAAAAAAAAGTCACTATTTTGGCAAGGAAAAAGTCACAGTTTATTTAGGTTATGTTGTGACTTTTTTTCCTACGATTTTTCCTGTGACTTTTTTCTTGTTACTTTTTTCCTGTGATTTTTTTCCTGTGACTTTTTCTTGTTACCTTTTTTTCTGTGATTTTTCCTGTGACTTTTTTTCTGTGACTTTTTCCTGTGATTTTTCCTGTGACTCTTTTTTCTGTGACTTTTTTCCTGCGGTTTTTCCTGTGACTTTTTCCTGTGATTTTTCCTGTGACTTTTTTTCCTGTGGCATTATCCTGTGAACTTTTTTCTGTGAACAATTTTATGTGACTTTTTTTCCTGTGATCATTTTTGTGACCTTTTTTCTGTGAACCTTTTTTCTGTGGACCTTTTTCTGTGGCCTTTTTTCTGTGACCTTTTTCTGTGACCTTTTCTGACCTTTTTTCTGTGACCTTTTTTCGTTTTTTTTCTGTGACCTTTTCTTGACTTTTCTGACCTTTTTTTCTGTGACCTTTTTTCTGTGCCTTTTTTCTGTGACCTTTTTTCTGTGACCTTTTTTTCTGTGACCTTTTTTCTGTGACCTTTTTTCTGTGACCTTTTTTCTGTGACCTTTTTTTCTGTGACCTTTTTTTCTGTGACCTTTTTTCTGTGACCTTTTTTCTGTGGCCTTTTTTCTGTGACCTTTTTTCTGTGACCTTTTTCCTGTGACCTTTTTTCTGTAACCTTTTTTTCTGTGACCTTTTTTCTGTGACCCTTTTTTTCTGTGGCCTTTTTTTTCCCAGTATCTGTGCGAAGTAACTCAGCAATGAAAAAAGAAAATCCCACCTTTGAAAAATGTGAAGAAGGTTGTGTGTGTGCTGAGAATTTTCACCCCAGCCAGACAGAAGAGGGGAGTGAGGACACACGAGAAAGTAATACTGTGTTGATGGTGTAAAATACCGACAAACTGATGATTAATACACATCTGCAATAGTTGGGTATCTTTATTGATGTAATCAGTCCATCAGTCAACCTTGGAGAAATAGTGTTTGAGGTGGTCAGTCCCTCAGCCTGGAGAAGAGTTCAACTGAGGGACTGACCATCTCAAACTATTTACTCAAGGTTGCCGGACTGATTGCATCATCTTCACCTCGCCACTACTACTGCTGCTACGATACATTCCCTTCTGTATTTGACTGAAGAAGTCTACTGTGTAAGCGAAACGTTTCATCAGTAAAGATACCCAACTGTTGCACATTCGTCTTAATCATCAGTAATATTACTTTAAAACACACGAGAGCAAACGCTAAGTGATATTAAACAACGTTTCGATCCTGGGTCCTTGATGAAGGCGATCAAGATTCCAGGACCGAAAGGTTTTCCAGCCTCTTGATGTTTGCTCATATTTCTTCTTTAAACCCATGGTCGGTATGAAGTGCCAAGGTAACAGTAACGACGCGATGGTATAATACTCACCGAACGGGCAGGATTCGGACCCATAGTAAGACAGTTCAGAAACTAGTAGGCCTGGGCCTGTAATCTTGTTGGGCCTTCGGGGTAAAGTCGTTAGAACACTGGTATTGGAAATCCAATCCTACCCGTTCTGTGGAACATTGTTACTCTCATGGCAGAGGCTCTCTCAAAGCTCTTTTTCTTACCTCTCTTAATGAAGCTTCCTTCCCTTCCTCCTAAATGAATCAATGCAAATGAATCAATACATTTTTTTAACAATGAATCACATACTTTGTATATATATTAGATTCCTTGGCGGTACATCTTTCTCAAGTGCTTTTTATTGTGCTGATTTACAGTGGGGAGAAGTCAGCAGTGACCACCCCAGTTGTAGCTTCGGCAGAACCCAGCGCTGTGTAAATTAATTATTATTAGTTTTGTTGCTGCACCAGCCTGGCAGGGGCGGCCTGCCCCTGCCGGAATAGTTAGTGACTGCTGCTGGGGCGTCCCTCTGCCACACCACCACCACCATGGCCTGTACTCGCTACGTGTCCAGTGAGGACAAACTGTGACCCTTGGCAAAGACAATAAGGTGAACCACAGGAAGACAGGGTATGATTTATTTTATACTTCTTTCTCTCTTCAGCTAAGAACCCCGAAGTAATTCTTAGATTCTTTATGGGAAAGCGTCAACCTCGTGTAAGTGCCTGGGAACGGGAGAGTGCCGGCTTAATACCAGAAGCCGTATTAAGCTCCAATTAGTCCGAATAGAGAGCCTTTCGTAAGAATTAACTCAGTCATTAAGCAGCTTAACGGAATCAATAATATAACAATGTACACAGTTTACTAAAGAGGGTCTCCGCGGGAAAATGCAGTACCACTACTATATAGTCTTCCTGTGAGTTTACTTAATATTGTGTGCAATGAATATATACATATGATTCAACGCCACTTGTTTCGTGGTTTCATTACTATATATATATATATATATATATATATATATATATATATATATATATATATAATATTATTAAATATATATAGTGTTTATCTTAGGTAAATATCAGTAATGTGAGGTGGTGGGCAGGCGTGTGGTGGGGGAGTGGGGGCGGGCCGCCCCTCTTTGAGACTTGCCTACCATCAACCCAGGCGGCGGGGTCCTGCATCTGCCTCGCCTCCTGCCCCCTTGACTATCAGAGTTGACCTCACACAAACTAATACCATTGTTCCATCCAACATTAACAGTAGCATCGTGTAGCTGTGTCGCCTCCCTCTTATGATAAAACTACTTCCGAACAGCCTTAAAACCCCCTTGATTCATTCTGATCATGTTCTTTTGTTCTATCCACTAATCAAGGGGCTTAAAACAGTGTGCACCTCTGTGAGTGTCATGAGTTTTGTTAGTGAATGGGTTGTGAAGAACGTGTGAGGAGGGTTTAGTGGGAGTAAGCGGAAGGTCGGTGGGATTCCTCCGACAGACCTCATTCACTTGGTGAAAATAACGTGTTTTGGTTGTTGTGGTCTGAGGTGTCGTGTGTGTGTGTGTGTGTGTGTGTGTGTGTGTGTGTGTGCGCTTGCGCATACACGTGTATGCGTGTTTGTATACACGTATTAGTACATGTATTAGTGGTGTATACACGTGTTATTGGTGTATACACATCTGTATTTATGTGTATTTGAATGCGATTTAACGTGTGCGCGTGCAGGCGTCTTGTCCACCCGCGTGTACGTGTGTCCAAGCAAGTGTGCTTGTGTCCATGCATGGTGTGTGTGTGCATGCACGTGTGCGTGTGCGCGCGCGTGTGCAGGCACGTGTGTATGTGGATTATCCATTAGCTTTGAGGGTGCCCGCTGGGTTTGCACGCGCACACACACCACACACACACACACACACACACACACACACAACACACACACACACACACACAAAACACACACACACACACACACACACACACCACACACAACACCACACAAACACACAACACACAACACACAACACAAACACCAAACGCACACACAACACGCAACACACACACAACACGCACATACAACACACAACACACACACAACACACACACACACAACACACAACACAATAACACATAACACATAACACACAACACACACACACACACACACACACACACACACACACACACACACACACACACACACACACACACAGCGGCACCTTACTAACAGCGTTCCTTGACCTGCCTACCACAGCTCCCATCAGTCCACGTCGGCAGAAACTCAACTTACGAATGAAAAGTTTCTCACTTGACTCACCGGAGTCGACTGAGCACGTACATCGTCGGCAGCACGGAGGCACGCCCCACGTCAGCCACGCCTCCTCACACACCCAATGTAAAGCTCGCAACCACGGTGCACGCAGCACGCCCACTCATATCCTTCCACGCCACTCTCTTTTTCTTGACCATTGGTCTTGTTGCTAAGCACCAGCTCTAGGCCCAATGTTTTCTCAGTGTTTTGCCGTTTTGTATAGTCTCTTGCAGTCAAAAAAAATTAAATTACATCACTTTATTACTGTCCTCTTTCGTATGTCTCAAGAGAAGAAACTATTCATAATACTTTTTTAAAACAAATCTCTTCGTAATTAGAGGTAATAGACTTAAACTATGATTAGAATGCTTGAGATGAACACTTGTTGTTTAACGTAGTGAGACTTTTGCTGAATGTGACTAAAGTCGGTGTTGTGGTCAGCGGAGTCGCCCCCTTCCCTCACATCCTGCTCTCACCGTCTGTTTAATGCTTCTTGTTCGGTCTCACACACTCATCCACTTGCCATAGTTGCTTTGGAAAGATTCGTGAGTATACACTTAGATATGGTTATTAGAAAAACGCTTCGATCCTGGAGCTCTGATCCAGGACCCAAACGTTTTGTAATAAGTTTGTCTAGTGTTTGCTCGCGTTTTCTTTCTAAAGCAATTGGTGGGTTTCTATTAGCAAGGTTTATACCACTTACCGCAGTCCTCCAGGAATGAGCGTCGCAAGCCACACTGTGCTCACTTCTTGTAACTTTATCAGTGATGGCCTCACCTAGTATAAGTTATTTTTTTTGGAGGCACCTCGTCAAAAACATGTTTCTTAGCTTCTTTTGAGTTTCTGGCATGATCATTATTTAGTTGGTGTTCATGGCTGTGCTTTCCATTTTACCCATCCCGGTTTAATTCATTTGTTTATTCATCCCAGGTTTTCCTTAAACCCCATTTTAGTCTTGTCTTGCGTCGCTGGTGGTGTGTATATCCCTTTCGTTTTTTCAATGTTTATGTCTCTGTTTTTTTTTTCGCCTTTTTGTTGGAATTTTTGCCGTTTTTCGTAAACTGGCAGTCGTGTATTGCAGCCATAACGCGAAACCCTGGGTATAACAGAGCTATCACATGTCAGACAAAAGTGAGCCTTACGCTCAAGGAGTCAGGGTCGGTTATCGTCTGGCTGCCACACGAACGCTCTTTGTTCCTCTTCGCAGCATGTTTACCGCCCTACACTGACACATTATATCCTTTGGTTATACAAAGTGTTGTGAATTTTAAGACTTTTTTTATCAGAAATTGTATGCTTTCTTAAACCTACCTTTGCTTATGTTTGAAATGTTTTATGTAGACTAATTTTTGAAGAGAAATTTGCTGCAGTTTTTGCTTACCAAGGCCCGGACATATTTTTAGGTCGAGGATATAGATTTAGCTTTCATTTTACATTTGTTTTTATGGTTTTTTTCTAAGGTGCCGTTTGTTGACGACACAATTTTTTTGGTCGGTGAGGCACATCTCTCTCTCTCGGCATATGCAAATTTATTTAGATCTTTTAATAAGTAAAAAAAAATAAGGGACGTTACAGTGGTGAAACTTGACAGCTGTTGTGGCCAACTCGAAATCCTAACAAAGTTACCCTTCTGTAATGCCAAACCTAATGTGTTGTTTATTTCAGCTTGTTTATAAGCTTTTCAGGCTCCGAGCCGCCATACGACAAGATGTCAACACTGTAATTCTCAACGCTATAAATTGGAATTTCTTAGGCACTTCCCGATAAACGCCCAAGAGTCGTCCGTTATAAGCTATCCTCTTAGACGAGATGATATTAGTCAGTCACCCTTCACCCTCCTAACCATGCTTGTCTCCTTCCCGTCAGTGACATCTCGTGCGTCAATCTTCTTGATAAACACCCTCCAGATGGCTGGACATTGTCAAGTGCCTGCCTGCTAGGGAGAGATGGATGGATGGATGGAGTCACTGACAGATAGACAAACACACACACAAACAGAAACACACAGAACACACACACACACACACACACACAACGCACACAGACACAATACAGCACAGTAAACAGACAAACACAGACACACACACAGACACACACACACACACACACACAACACACACACACACACACAACACACACACACACACACACACACACCACACACAAACACACAACACAGCACTATACAGACACACACACACACACACACACACACACACACACACACCACACACACAACACACAACCACAACAACACACACACACACACACACCACAACAGACACAACACGACACACACACACACACACACACACACACACACACACACACACACACACACACACACACACAAGCACATAACAACACACACCACACACACACATACACACCACACACACAACACACCACACACACACACACACACACACACATACACAGACATCACCACTATACAGCAAAAAACAACACACACACGACAACACACACACACACATGACACACAATCCTACACTCACATCATGCATCTGCACAACAGTACATCACAGCACCTTAAAAGCAAACAAACATACTGGCACAGATAGATCCTTACACATCATGGAGGTCACTCAGTCATGACAAATACTCTGGTCATGACAGTTACTCCAGGTCATGCTGGTGATAGTTATAGAGAAGAAAACTATAACAGGGAGCCTATGATCGTGATAAGTTCTCTTTACATAAAGTCATGACACATCAAGTCCGGCCTAGCACTCATATAGTGAGGTCTTCTGTGGTCAATGTTTACATTCAAGGGATGACCTCTTGTGTGGGAAAGAGGTCGCAATAGACAAATATGGGATGCGTCACGAGTAATCAGAGTTTATAATCATGGGATGACCTCCTGGGAGGGCACAGTTGGCATTCACGAGATCACGGAATGTATATCAGCCTGCAGGCATTTTAGAGGTGAGGTTTAGCAATTTATGAACGTTCTAAGACTTCAGGATAACCAGCTGGAGATCTTGGGTCTTTGGAAATCAAGATT